AGCTGGCCTGGCTTCGCCAGGCGGGTACATAATTTTAACGAAATTTTTTCGGTAGCGGGCTGCTCATAAGGCCCTGTAGGAACGATAGTAACAAGGACAGAGCAACGCTACGACTCCCCGCACAAACTCAGCACGCGCTTCTATTTACAGCGGCGGTGTAGTCCGCACCACGACGCCATTAGAATACATAATCTGTAGATAGATACAAAATGTAGTCGGCCAATACAGCGCAATATGAATGCTCAGTGAAATAGCATTCGTTTCCATTACTTGCACCGGAATGCCTACCGACGAACGCTTTCCTTTTCCTTTTCAATTAGCATGCGATCCGCTCGTTGAAGTGTTTTTCGGTTCTCCTCGAATTTCCCTGAGATTCCCGGGTTCTCCTCGAATTTCCCTGAGATTCCCGTTTCAGGCGAACTACATACCCCCCCCCCGCTCGTCGACATCGACATTATATAGTAGGATGAGTTCATTTTCTAAGGCTATCAGGGAAGTGATGGCTGAAGGAAAAGTATGCACACTGAGCCTTTGGTACTTGGTATAGTAATAAGAGAGGTATGATAATGACCCCTTATCGTTTCTTATCGATTGATAAGATCCTGTCACCCGTCATCAATGTCCCTATCACTGAAACTCTATGATTTGACGGAGAGTAGGAGGCCCTCCAGCGATTTGACTGAACAGCATTGTTCCTTATCAGCCCCTATCAGCTGTTATCACCTCACGTGCCGTGTCCCCATCTCCAACTCTATATCATATTCTGAAATTAATGCCTAGCTGATGCTGTGTTCCGCGTTATAAGTATGGTGACCTTACCATTCTAACTCCCCTTATCAAATCCTATCAGCTGCTATCATTCCCTGTCACCCATCAATAATGTTCCTGTCCCACGTCCTATATCATACCTTGGAACCAATGTCCCACTGTTACTGTGTCCCGCACTATGGGCTCGGTCACCCTCCCCTTCTAAGGCCCCTTATCGAATCTTATCAGGTGCTATCACATTCTATCACCCACCAAAAGTGTTCCCGTCCTGCCACGTATATCACTTCTTGGAACTGTCGTCCTATCTTTTCTGCGACGCTCGCTATGAATTTCGTGACAGACAGACAGACGCACACACAAACACACACACACACACACACACTTACAGACATACTTAGCGGATTATATATAGTAGGATAGTAGGATGAGTTCATTTTCTAGGCTATCAGGGAAGTGATGGCTGAAGGAAAAGTATGCACACTGAGCCTTTGGTACTTGGGGTATAGTGATAAGAGAGAATATAAGACCCTTATCGGTTTCTTATCGATTGATAAGATCCTGTCACCCGTCATCAATGTCCCTATCACTGAAACTCTATGATTTGGAGTGTAGAGGCTCCAGCGATTTGACTGAACAGCATTGTTCCTTATCAGCCCCTATCAGCTGTTATCACCTCACGTGCCGTGTCCCCATCTCCAACTCTATATCATATTCTGAAATTAATGCCTAGCTGATGCTGTGTTCCGCGTTATAAGTATGGCGACCTTAGCATTCTAACTCCCCTTATCAAATCCTATCAGCTGCTATCATTCCCTGTCACCCATCAATAATGTTCCTGTCCCACGTCCTATATCATACCTTGGAACCAATGTCCCACTGTTACTGTGTCCCGCACTATGGGCTCGGTCACCCTCCCCTTCTAAGGCCCCTTATCGAATCTTATCAGGCGCTCTCATTCCCTGTCACCCATCAATAATGTTCCTGTCCCACGTCCTATATCATACCTTGGAACCAATGTCCCACTGTTACTGTGTCCCGCACTATGGGCTCGGTCACCCTCCCCTTCTAAGGCCCCTTATCGAATCTTATCAGGTGCTATCACATTCTATCACCCACCAAAAGTGTTCCCGTCCTGCCACGTATATCACTTCTTGGAACTGTCGTCCTATCTTTTCTGCGACGCTCGCTATGAATTTCGTGACAGACAGACAGACGCACACACAAAAACAACAAACACACACACACACAACACACTTACCAGATCATTACTTAGCGGCGGGTACACCGGCCGGCTCTACGGTATGCGTTTGTTCGGACGGAGAGCTGTGGGATTATATATAGTAGGATAGTAGGATAAACTAAGCAGTCGAATCACCCGGCTGTCGCCGGGTGCTCCTCCTTCTTTATCACGGCCGGCCTTCGCGGGCCACTTGCTTCGCAGGCTCTATCTTTAGGATAGATAGACGTTGCTGCAAAATACGCCAATCGTATCCAGTTCTTTTCTCAGCAAAATGTAGAAAAATAGTTGAAAATAGCTCGAGCAATGGGTTAAAGTTGGATCAGCGAGTCGAAGTTGAAGTTGAACCGGCGCTATGATATTCGTGTCAAAGAGTTAGACGCACACGCACGGACATAGCCGATTATATATGGTAGGATTGTAACCGTTGTCCCAATGTAGCGCTGAAATCTATCCTTTGGTCCACTCTTTTCTCGGAGTTAGTACCAAAAATCTCCATAACCCTCACACGAAAATTCAGCAACCTGTTAGAGCAGCCTTTGAAGCATCCTACCGCTTGATGCGTTCTCCACTACTGCAGGTTTCTTTTCTGGAATGCACTCCCGCATTCGGGCAGTTTAACGCTTCGAATGGTCCTCTCTCAGATTGTTGATGAAAGATAGTCATAGTCATAGTGATAAAGCCGGTTGCTGCAGTTTATGGCAACTGAGTAAACAACCGCCATGCTCCTGAACTCCAGTTGCTCCAGCGGCCGTACATGATGTCGATAGCGGTAAGAGCATAAGAGTGAGTTGTGTACGAACTACTGGGAGCCTGATACCTGGATCATATCAATCGCATAGTGGATGTAAGCGGTGTTGCGGATTTCCGCATGATGAGGTTTTCATTTCTTATCAGTCACTCGTCTCAACCGTCAGTGGGTGTCCGCTCCTGCCCTATTACACTTCCTGGAGCCAAGGTCCCACAGACCCTGCAACCTATCCTAATTTGGTGGCCCTCCGCATCTAAGGTCCCTTATCAAATCTTATCATATGTTATTAGATTTTGTCACCCACCCCGTCCCTCCTGTATACCATCTCGGAACCACGGTCTCAATTCACTGCAGCCGATGTTAGGAATTGGGTGACCCTCCGCGTCTGAGGTCTCCTTGTCAAATCTTATTCACGGTGTTGTCAGCCTTTCTGTCAACAACCATCATGTCCACCCCTTTCCCCTACACTACTTCTCGAAATCAATGTCCCACGGTTGCTGCAACCTGCGCTAAAAATTTAGTGACACCCGCGTGTCCCTTATCGGATCTTATCAGATCAAAGACTATACTCATAACTTCGTCCACCCCCCATCTATGGCATATCACTGACTTGAAACCAAGGTCCCGCAGCTAGACTGCAGCAATTAGCTACGAATATCAGTTCACATCACCCTTCTGAAGGCCCCATATCGCAATACAATATTCAGGTTTGTCGCAATCCAGCACCACCACACCAAAGTAGTATCCCACGTCCTGACGTTATATACACCATCCATTCACCCTCTAGAAATACAGGTTCCACGCTGCCTCAACCTGCCAGCCTACTATTCTGGTACGATCAATAACCAATACATAGACAGGGAACAGAGCGCACTAGTTTAAGATCAGCCCGCGAGGATCGCTACTGATATATGACTCCCCCCCCCCCACCACTCCCTACCCTCTTGAAGCGATCTTGCCTTTGCAAGTGCATCCACAAAGCATCAGCCAGTGAAAAAACAGCAAATAGATGCTACCTGAGCTAGTGAAGATATAATATTATATAAGAAGAATGTAGAGTCAATTTAGAGTGACAATGATCAAATATTTCGTAAAAACAACCCAAACAAATACGAAATATAGCAAATATAAGCATCGATAAAATGAAATAGTAGAGCGGAGTAAGAGAAAGGAAGATTAGAATAGTATGAATCATTAGATAAATCATAAAATATACACAGTCGCATTTGCCCTGCTCGTGGCGTTGATAGCGAAAATTAATACGAATGATGTTACTAATGATCACATATCAAACACATACAATAAGAAATCAACACGATCAAAAACGACATAATATCCAAGATCCCATATCACTCATCATATTACATCCTAAATCAATTCCATCGAAAATCACTCCCACCGTTGCCAGTAACACTGAGTATAACGAATTTGAGATATAAATGATCCCTATTATACGAACCACTATATAGATATTATCAACTGTATAATCAACCTCTTCACCACGCCGTAATGTTTCCGCTCACACACCCTAATAAATCACACTAACGGAAATATCAAGCGTCCGGTTGTTGACTAGTAAGCCTGACTTACATGAATTGATGACACCTCATCATATGCCGACGCCCCTATCCGCGATACTTATCAACTAGATATCACATTTACTAGATCACTCACCAATAAATAGATAGCCCAATAATACCAAGCAATAATCAATTGAACCAGCCTGCCAAGAGACTGAGTATAGAATATATTATAGATACTTACGAGACCTGAATAGTATCTTCTTATCACTTCTGTCACCCGCCAATATTAATCCACCAGATCCCATCCAACCTATATCCACTTCTTGGCTCATCCACTACTGCGACGCGTGCTATGAATTTCGTGACAGACAGACGGACGCACACACACACACACACACACACACTGACAGACATACTTAGTGAATTATATATAGTAGGATTAGAGCTCGATGAACCTGGTTCAGCTCCAATCCTGAGCGGATGATGAGTGGTAACGAGCGTTTCTCAGCCCACTGCCCCCCCCCCCTTCCCCAACTCCCAGACTACCCATTTTGCTTTGATAATGACAATTCTTACACCAAAAGGATCCGGGCGAACCACGTGCAACGGAAAAGTGCCGTATTCGATCCCTGTACGTGTATGGATTTCACTTCCACTTTTCTCTAACTCACATTCTTAATTAAAGTCGAGAACAAACTAGAACGGTGAATTAAATTGTTATTTGAGAAATGTGAGCTCGACCGAACTTGCAAAAATCACAAAAGGAAAACAAGGTCAAGAGAAGCAAGCAGCTCCGTACAGGTTCGTTATTTTATTCATTAAACTCTAGCGGTAATGTTTATTCCACTGTTTTTCACTTCTTTGATTAGAGCTTCGCATTTCAAGAGTCCTAGGACTATCAAGTTGATTGGTTTGACGCTGCTCTTCGTAGTGCTTGTTGGGTTTCTTCATGCTACCGCAGAATTAGACTCGTTAGCGAATTGATTTCAGGGCCATTGCAAGTGATCCGTGCATTATCGGTATCTGGTTGTCGACTATCGGTGGTAGTCTCGGCTTCCAAATTTTCTTACTCTATGGGCCAACGTATATCAATAAGGTTTGTCCGTAAACTTTCCAGATATGGCACTCGCGAAACAGCCCACGAAATGGCAGAAGGAGTACTCCACTGACTGCCGTAGCCAGTATGTCGCGAATAACACTTAGTTGGAGGGAAATCTCTCTTCTACGTACAGTCGTCATCCGGGCAGTTGATTGGGCGGCTAAAGGGTCACGACGCGGCTACGGCCCCCATCACGACCGCGGCGATCAGCTGTGTCCAGCTCGAGTAAGAAACCATTGTGCCAACTGCCTATAACATCATAGAACTTTTACGTTTGTTCATATGAGTCGTGCTGGGACTGATCCCATTAATAGACTTTACCCCTTTCCCCGCGACTCACGGCTAACTTTACCTATTTGGAGAGGTAACATTTGAGTACTGCTATGGATAGAGGAAATTCCCATATCTTGCTGATTCAGGTGCTTCATTACGATGTGACAAGGACAGGTCTCACCACTGCACTACCATATATTCTTTCGGCGACGCTTAAGTTTTTAGTGGGGCCAATATCTGATCGAGCAAGCTGTATTTCGGACAGATGGCGTCTTGTATTCTTCGCCGCTTTCTCACAAGGACTGATGGCTTTGTCTTTTCTTGCTCTCGTATTTGTGAGTCATTGGTTTTCATATATCAAGTAGTGACTTTGTGTCGTTGGAACACTTTCCAAGAACGAAAAGTTGGCCCAGTGCATGGCGGTAGTATGAGTGGAAGCAGTTTGCCGTGTCTTAATCGTTGGCGCATGTCGTCCTACCGTCCTAAAACCACCACTGATTAAATAACACTACTGCTGACTGTGTCCGCCCATACCACCGGATTGTGCTGTGCCTACATATAACCTTTGAATGCTAAACGGTCAAGGATACCGTAGCTGAGGCTCACGCAAATCATATCAATGACATCAGACGAGGTGTCTCTTCTTCAAAGTGAGTCAACAGTTAGGGTCATTTCCCTCATTTACGCCTGTAAAAGAACCAGCTTCGTGTACTCCGGAGTACAATTGTCTTTATTATGGACAGCTCATAAAGGGCTGTATCTTCCACGATACTTTCATTTCTTTCTAGGCATTGTGCACTGTTCCAGATAACGTCTCCCAGTCTGGCTCAAACTGCCTATACTGTTGCCATAGTGTCTAGCGGTATTAATGCAGTTGGCACTATAAAATGCGCTCAGATGGTAGGTATATGTAGTGTAGAACCGAAATATTCAATTGTTAAGGTCAATTCTAGTTGTTAATTTGTCAGATTGGAGGTGCATACTATACAGCTCTCCGTATACATTCATACCACTTTAAGGTAGCACGACAACACGTCCACGTTGTGATGGCGGTGACCTCGTTTTTACTGTGCGTCATAGTTCTAGTGATTCCGCTTGCCGTCAACATAGTTTGTCCGGACAACACTCCGGAACAGGTACCGTCTTCGCCATTAGTACTGGTGGCTCCATCGTCAGTCCAACCTTTCAAATCTTGGTCATGTTTACAAACAGCACTACTGCCGCACACGATAAGTAGCGGGAATGAAGCTGGAAACTTCGAAAATTGCATTCCTTCAACGTTTTTGGTGTATTTATCGAACGTTAAACGGAACGGAAACGGGGCATTGAAATAACCTTCATTCTACAGTATCGACTCCGCAAGGCCTTCGAAGATGCTTTTACGTAATTATCAGGTCATCCCATTCAAAAATGTAGATACATATAGAGCAATAGCAGGAAAGCGCGGGTGTAATAGCTGTAGCCTTCTATATAGTTTTGAGCTAGTACAGTTGGCTACCTATCCTACTATATATAATCCGCTAAGTTTGTCTGTTGGTGTGTGTGTGAATGTATGTTTGTGTGTCTGTATGTGTGTTTGACCGGAAATTCATAACTTCCTTCAAAACAGCGATTGTGCGCTCAAACTGATAAGTGATGTAGGAGGTCGGGCAGGAACACTATTGGTAGGTGGCAGGAAGTGATAACAGCTGATAAGATAACATGAGGAGCCTTAGAAGGGAAGGATCACCATCTCCATAACGCGCGTCACAGCGACGCTAGGACTTTGGTTCCAAGAAGTAGGATTATGGGCAAGATGGGAACATCATTGGTGGGTGGCAGGAAGTGATAACGGCTGATAAGATACCATGAGGAGCCTTACAAGGGGAGAGTCACCAAAGTCATAGCGCCGGCCACGGCGACGACGGGACGTTGGTTTCAAGAAGTAAGATAGGGGGCAGGATGGGAACAATATTCATGGCTGGCAGGAAGTGATAACAGCTGATAAGATAATATAATGGGCCTCAGAAAGGAAGGGTCACCAACCTGATAACATGCTTCACAGCGACGCTAGGACGTTGGTTCCAAGAAGCAAGATAGTGGGCAAGATGGGAACATTATTGGTGGGTGGCAGGACGTGATAACAGCTGATAAGATAGCCCCAAAAATTCACAGCATAGTTGTGGCATTACTGGACTATTGCTTCCAGCAAGTAATTTAGAGGTGCTTAGGTAACATTAGTAGTGGGAGATAAGTTCTGATAGTGTCTGACAAGGGCTTTTAGGAGTATAGCTCAAATCACCGCGGCCAACGAATCATTGGGCAAAGGCGGTGAAGCACATGTTTCATGTTATCTATCCTTGCGAATGCCGGTGATTTCAGCCGGCAAACGAGTCTTCAAACAAAAGTAAAGCCCCGAAATTGCTCAAATGATGTCCTAAGTGTGACATTCATTAGATAGCGATATTATTACGTCGAGACATCTTCCAACCGGAGATGTCATCGAACGAAGCGAGTGTTCAAAAATGTGATAAACGCATCTATAGTGAATGTCTACAAAAGGGAAAAAGAACATGAAGTTGGCCGTTTCGCGTAAGAAGATGGGCCAGTGGTGGCCTCAGCAGAAAAAACCCCCTGATCAGACCTAGTCAACACTGCGCCAGTCGCGCGTAGCCAACATGTCTACACAATCCGCCAAGGTTTCGTTGTGTTGTTAAGTTTTGTCGGTCGAGTGTAATGACCGCAAATTCATTAACTCATCAAAACAGCGATAGTGGCTCAAATATGATAAGGATGTAGGGACAGAACATGTAGGCGTGGTGCAGAAAGTGAAAACAGTTGATAAGAACCATAAAAGACACTAGAAGGAATGGTGCCAATCATACACCTGCCAAGAAGACGACCGAACGTGGATTCAAGAAGATGAGAGTAGGGCACGGATGAGAAATGTTTCGTGGTGGAAAGGGATCAGCACTGAAAAACACCATAAGAAGGCTAGAGGATGGTCGGGTGGTCTGATTCATAAAACTGGGCAGAGCACGTACCGGACGGATCCAATAGTAAAGAAAGGGCAGGACACGGAACACAATATGCAGGGAAGAAAACCCGACACGACCTGGACCGACACTTGGTGATGTAAAAGTGTTATCTCAAGAGAGATATGAGCAGAAGGTCGGAGCCACGACGGACGCGAGCCCGCATACACCTTCGGGCGGTGCGGGTTCCCATAGGAAGGCCTTCCCGCCGGCGGGCTTCTTCGTATATCACTAAAAACGTCTCATCACCCTGAACGTGTGAGTGAAGCTATACTCATGTCAGAATGCCTATGACGGAAGAGTAGTGCCGTCGCAAGCGGTAACGATAACGCAACCCTCCGTGATCGCCGGACGAATACTGAGTCCGGCCAGTCGACTTTGCACTATCTTGCAAAGGACTATGACAGTTGACGGCTGTTTTCCTCATAGTCCATGTTCTAAAGCCGATTTCACATACAAAGAGGAGTTCCAACAGAAATATAGTATAAACGCAATGGCTGACCTTGTTCGGGGAAGCTTTTTTTCTATCTCTCCGTAATGTAAATGCAGCTAAACCACCGTAGTAAAGCTTCCATGGTGTATGGTGGAAAAGTAATAAAAAAGTTGACCGTAATTGCCAAATAATCCCGGCTTCCCCACCCCTCGTAGTAATCATCGCACACGGCGAAATTCTAGGATGCGTAAGCGTGCCAGCGTGCTGAGACAGAACGTGGTGTCACTGAGCTTTCTAATTAAGTGGGCATACATCTTCGCCTCGACTTTTCGAAATTCAATAGCGTACCAATGACTGAGATAAAGTAGCACCACCACCATCCGCACTACCATCCAACGCTCAGATATGCAGCTCTCGACCATCGTCCGAAGGACGGCTGGGCCGAAGAAGGCCCAAGATGCCGGCACAATCATCGCACACTGTGAATGGCTTGCACCGGGTATTGTGCGCATTGTAGCGCAAAGCAGGCGGAAGTAGGTAGCTAGTGAAAAGAGTAAACATTACCAGAGTCACGCACGATTGGAGAGACATACCACGCTCCATAGCAAACAAATACCGAAGATCAAACAGGGAAGAAAAAACTTAATCAATCAATATGAGATTTAATTTGAGCAACGACTATAAGATTTCGGCAACACAGAACCAACTGGCAGTTGTCTCAAACGAGTGACTACCACACGATCATGCGGAATGTCACGCTACTTCAATCTCAGTGGATAAAAGGTAACGACTGACTCTACAGCGCCGACGCGCAATATTTCGATAAACCCGAGTTTTTCACTTGTATAGACTGAAGTCCACGACTCCTAAAACTAGCAACTTATTTAACTATCAAATGAGTCCCCTGAGAACTAATAACTTATTTATCCATCAAATAAGTTATTACAGTTGTGATGGTCGCAATCCGGGCGGGCTGTGTCAGTAGGCCCTGAATGGGCTCGCCCGCGGCGCCCAATACCTTTGGTTGCTTGCTACTTGAACGCGACCTCTATTGGAAGAAACCGCGACGGCCGGTGGCCCCAATCCACACCTTCTGACACTGCCCCGACTGGTCGCGGCGATATCAAGTGTATGTGGGGGTTTTGCGGCACCCTCAATTGAAAACTGAGAACAGTGAACACACCCGAAGCAATTTTCTCGCGAGTGGGAAGAATTTCACGCATAGACTACTACGACTCCTACCGACGGAGTGCTTCTCTCCCACTCCCTCCTACCGCATGGAAATGCTTCTGAGCATTTGTATAGCGCGTCTAAACGGGAGAAATCAAAATAGGAAACTGCTTTCAAAAAGTCACAAAGGATCGAAATGGGCTTAAAGGCGGTCACCTTGAAAGGGTTTTACCAAGGTCGAGCGACTTCCCCCTTATTGGCCATCGCACAAAGAACATCCACTCACTAGCAGGTCCCTCAGCTTTCTTCAACTTACGATCCAAGATCGAAAGCTGTTCAAAGACTGACAGAAAAGGAGCAAAGTAAAAACGCGGCCACGGTACATACAACATCTACGAGTACATTCATACAAGGGGCGCAGCCGTGAACGTAACGGTGGCTGCGAGGGTTCAGACGGAAGAGAAGTAGAGACATACATATAGTAGGGGAGGACGGGACCACATAGCCGTCGCGAGTACTCCCTTTCTGCCCTCCGATGTGCGATGAAAGATCCAAATTTTATCTGCCATGTTTCATCCCAAATATTATAGTAAGAGTTTCACTGCAGAAAAGTATTCTTCTTGATGTGAATATATTCTGTTTTCAGTGGTCACGTTTGTTTTTCGGAATAAGCGTGATTGTCGTTGCGTCGAATATACCGTTTGTGTTTGTTGCCAGAAGCGAACCAGCACCATGGACAGGAAATAAGGTTGCTTTTCTTTCATCAACATAATTAGGATTGTTTCTGCCAATATTGACTTTATTTTTTTTCATTTTCAATTCAGCACACTATGAACCAATCAGCTAAATAATCACAAATATTAGCCACTACAGTATCTCACCTCCTAGTGGGTAGACTGGCGAACCCTGCTCCTCGAAGTGAGGAAAACTAGAAGGGAAACTGCACGTTCCCCGGAATTTTGGGAACTTTGACCCATCTTCGGAAAGTGTAATGATGGAAGTGCAAGTTCAATCTTTCGGACTGCTCTATTACAAGTGCTCGAAACTGAAGTATAAATGGTCAAATTATCCAGTCCTCACTTATTTATTTACCAGTCTGGCTGACGCGCATTTCTGCGCGCAGGGTTAAACCTATGTTACTGATACTTGACAGGATTTCTGTGCTGAGCAGTAACACTTAGCCTAATTCCTATGTTTCCAAAACGGCCCATTTCATCATGTTTCTCCCTTTTAATGAACACTTGCCAATGTTAGGCTCATATCATATTTCTAAAATCACCATTCGTTGGAAATCGGACAGCATAGCGGTTGGAAGGATTCCGATGGTAAAAATATCGAAATCACAGTGGCTCTTATCATTCCTCACTGGGCAACAACTCCAAACATCCTTTTTCGGGAACTCGAGCGTTTAGCGGTGGAAGCAATTCCGACCGCTAAACTGAGGGATTTTGCTAAGGGAAAACATCTTGACTCATTAAGAATTCGCCCATTCATTCTTTGGCTACGGTGATGTGAGCAGATACGGACTCCCAAAAGCCCTCGTCGGACACTGTCAGAATTTATCTCCCACCTTTAATGTTCCCCTAAGCACCTCTACTTGCTGGAGCAGTTCCCAGTGTTGCTATAACTCTGCTGTGAATTTTCCTGGCTATCTTATCAGCTGTTATCAATTCCTGCCACCCACCAATAATGTTCCCATACTGCCCCCTATATTACTTCTTGGAACCAATGTCTCGTCGTTGCT